ACGGCATTTCTGTTTATGGTCAGTAAAATTTATGTTGTAACTGATAGTGCCCCAGTAGATACGAATCTACGAGCTCTGTTGACATCTCTTGTATTCATGGTCTCAAAGAAGGTGGAGCAGGAACCTGCAGGGGACCGGTTTGTCTTGGCCTGGCAACTGTGACTCAGCTCTGTACAGAAAACCTACAGAAGTGAGGTGGTGGGCAGGAGCCAGACCTTCAAACCGAGTTTTCCCGTAGGAATCAGGCCTAGAAAATACATACAGACTGTTATGGCTTGCTCTTGCTGAAACTCCATCACCCTGGTCTAAAACAACAAATGTGTATTGTCTATCTTCAAGGTAACTTCCAAAGCCTGTGTGAGTTTTCCCAAGGACAGAGCTAATCAACTCACCGCCATTCCCCTCTGCATGTTATTTTCATTTCCTTGATTTGTACCTAAAATGTAGACAATAATATTCTATGTAATAATAAATCCTTCTTTGATGTAAGACCCCCCCAAAACAATAAAAGCCTGTCTAGGCAAGCGTCCAGGAGCTCTCCTCTTGAGAGAGTAGCTGATGCACTCAGAGGTGCTCTCCTCTTGAGAGAGTAGCCATTCCAGTCCCTTTTTCTCCACAGGATTGCTTTCTCCTGTGCATTCATTCATTCTTGTCTTCAGTCACAACAGGTGGACTCTGCTGGCTGGAGTCTGCCACAGGGACCCCCTACAAAGAATCAACAGCCATTATGAAGCTGGATATTACAACAGGCCTCTATTTAAAAGAAGCGACAGTGTTTCTTGCCCTGGCTGGTGTGGCTCAGTGAACTGAGGGTCTGCCTGAGAACTGAAAAGTCACTGGTTCAATTCCGGTCAGGGCACATGGCCAGGTTGTGGGCCAGGTCCCTGACTACAGCTGTGCAAGAGGCAACTGATCAATATTTCTCTCTCATACATTGATGTTTCTCTCCCTCTCTTCCCAGGGCCCTGAGTTCAGTCTAAATATGTTAATTTGGTCTTAGGTTTCAGGGGGAGCACCTGAGGGTGGCCAGGCCAAACAGTCCTGCTTGTCCACGGTACTGACTGACACTCTCACATACTGTGCACTACATTTCACACAGCGTGTTCTAGGAGAAAAATGCAGGAGTTTGGGCTCTGGCCACTGGCTCAGTTGGTTGGAACGTCATCTTGCAGCTGCAAGGCTGTGGGTTTGATCTCCTGCAGCCTGCCTAGGTGGCTGGTTTGATCCAGGTAAGGGCCCAGGCATGGGCAAAGCCCCATCCAGACTTGTACAGACCCCTGTCCCGGGTGCGTACTGTAGGCAAACCCATCAGTGCTTCTCTCTAACTGAGGTTTCTCTCTCTCCTTTTCCTCTCTCCCTTCCTCTCTGTCTAAAGAAGCAATGAAATAAAGATGTCCTCGGGTGAAGATAAACAATTTTTAAATATTTAAAAAATGCAGGAGTTTGGGCAATCTTCTGCTGTTTCATAGACAAGAATGGCAGGCTCAGTAGCCAGTTTAACATAAGGTCTTATAGTATTTTGGGGAAAAGCAGTGTCTGGGCACTTAACTTCTCCTTGGTTTAATGTCCACATCTGTAAAATGAGGAAATATACCCCATGATCTCTTCTGGCTTTTAACAACTTAAGTTAACAAGGAAAGACATGAACAGATTTTTTTAATAAGAGAAGTAATACAAATGCCCCATTAAACACACATCGATAGGAAAGTGAAAACTAGTAAATAATGAGATAGCTACCAGTCGCCCCCCTCCATTATATTGAGTCCAAGAGAGGAATAAAATGAACTTGCCTACTACCACTACTATTATTTAACTTGTTTTAGAAATCGTAAGCAAGACAATGAAATAAGAGAAAGTAGCAAAAAAAATTTTAAGGGGGACAAAACTATCATTATTTGAAGAATTTCTTTAGGCTAGAAGAAACAAGAAAAAAAGAAAAGAACAAGGTAGATGCTTAAAATATATAGTAAACTATATACATACTTTAAAAAGAAAGTCAAACAGTAATTTTTCTATGTAGCAATGATCAATTACATAGCAACAATAAAAATAAAATATCTAGGTATTAAAATTTAAAAATGTGCAGGAGCTATATAAAAAAGGTAATTCTTTACTGGGGAATGAAAAAACCATAATGTAACTCTGACCTTGTTGCTATAGCAGCAACAGTGGCTGCAACTCTTCGGTAAGAACATGCAGGTAACCCTACTTATATTTTCCTTACCTGCTGCAGCTGCTGCTGTGAATGACCTGGGAAGGCAGGGCTGGTGACAGAAATCCTTCCAGACTTAACCTGGGTCAGAGAAAGGAGGCAGCAGGGCTACACTAAAAATTTCTCAGAGGAGTCATGCCGGCCTGAACCAGTGGTCTCTATGACAGGAAAGAGAGGTCCTTGGAAAGGCTTGAAGCCTGAAAAGGAACTCTGGCCCGTCCCACCATCCATGAACCCCTGTGTAAATAGCTGGACCCGGAAAAAATTGTGTCATTAAAAAAATGAGTTCCCCCGGGCACCAATGTGGAACCCAATCTGGGTACCCACTCTCCTTCACTGCGGTGGGACCCTGAGCCATCTGCGATCTCCTGATTGTTGCCCCAGTTTCTTTAAGATCTGTTCTTAGCCTTAGGCTGGGCTGGAAAAGGACGAACCTGCCCAGAATTTCAGCAGGACAGGAAAAGGAGGGAGCGTTTCAACATGGAAAAACTTCGGCGAAAATGAAGGAATGCCTGAAAATCGAGGAGAGATGGAAAAACAAAGAACAGCCTCAGAATGCTGGAAAGCCAGAAGTAGTGCATACTCTGGAAGATGAGGAAGAGTTAGAAAATGAGGGAAAGAGAGGAAGCAAGAGAAAGACAGAAGCTGAGGAAGTACCAGAGGAGAGGAAAAAAACAGAGAAGGGGGGAAAGTCAAAAGAAGGACAGCCAGCGATAGAGGGAAAGTTGGGAAAACCAGTGTGTGAGGGAAAAACCAAACGAAGGAAAACCAGCCATGGAAAGCACCCTGCTGGGGATGATGTAGCAGGAAAGCCCAGTGCCTCCAGGAATGTTAAGAGGCCATACACCACGAGCATTTGAGCCATGAGGAGATGATAAGAGAATTTGAAGAGATGGCTAGGGCAGAGCATAAGATGAGGAAAACCAGACAGAAATTGGAGGAGAGGAGGGTTATGTGGATGCAGAAAAGTTTACAGGACCCTTTTACCAAAGGGGCCCAAGGGAACTCAGGGGTGGCAGTAGGGCCCCACAAAAGGGCTTTGAGGGCCTTTCGAATAGTGCACCCGGCAGGCATTTGCCAGCCCAGGGCTTCAGGTGAATGCTTAGCTTCAGGTGTCACTCTCATTACCCAGCTGCAGCCCTCTGTGTTTCAGTAGCAGATTTTCATCTTTGCATGGAAAAATGTTTATGGTGCATTGCAAAGTTAAAAGAAAAATACAATTTGCAGAACCAATTAAAAAAATGTGTTCAAGAAAGGCTATGGTCCAGCATCTGTACAAGATTTTATTTTTTTAAGTGTGAAGAAAAGCTGCAAAATTAATGAATGCATGAAAAATGTTCACAAGAAAAATGGCATTAGAATAAATGAAAATGCTGACCATACACTGGGATGAAAAATCTTAACAAACTATGACACCACATGTGTAGGAAGACCTCAGGACGGACATGCAGAACTCATATGTTAGTAAAATGTTCTTTGACACTTTGCAGTAGTTACTGTAGATTTAGATATGCTTTCCCATTCAGAGAATACAAAAATAGTCCTTTCATCTTAGTCCCATTTTTACTTTTTGTTAATTGGTAATTCTTCATGAAATATGCCTTAAAGTAGAAATTTAATTTTCATTCACCAGTTTTTTTGTATCACTTATTGGATAAACATCCTTTTCCCCAGTTATTAAAGGTTCTACTTTAATCATATTCTAAATTCTTTTTTAAAAAATATTTTATTCATTTATTTTTAGAGAGAGAGGAAGGGAGGGAGAAAGAGAAGGAGAGAAACATTAATGTGTGATTGCCTCTCACGTGGCCCCCACTGGGGACCTGGCCTGCAACCGAGGCACATGCCCTGACTGGGAATCAAACCGTGATCCTTTGGTTCACAGGCCTGCACTCAATCCACTGAGCTACACCAGCCAGGGCCATATTCTAAATTCTTATATATGTGAATACATAATATGTACATTACACATATATGGCTGTCAATTGCTTTCTGGGTACTCTCTTCAGTTTCAATAGTTTTCTTAACTTGTAACTAATTTAGAACCAATATATAAAGCTGAATTAAAAACAATACATACATTCTATTATCCATAAAAATATCAGCCTATCTCAAAATACTTTCTAAAAATTTTATTGATTGATATTAGAAAGGAAAGAAGAGAGAGAGAGAAACATCAATATTTTTGTTCCATTTATTGATACATTCATTAGCTGATTCTTGAATGTGCCCTCCCTGGGGATCAAACCCATGACCTTGATGTACTGGGATAATGCTCTGACCCACTGAGCTATCTGGCCAGGGCTATCTGAAAACACTTTAAGGAAGAACCATAGATGTTTCATTTGAATAATACAGTTGTGTTTTGCAAAGTAAATTTTATTTCCATTGACTAGTCAAAACTTATATTACAACTTTTTTTTTTAAAGGAAATAACATGTATAATATTAAGCACCCTGGGCATTGTGCGTATCTCCCCCATAGAATGAACATTTACTATGGGTATTGTGTGTATATTCTACACAGCAGAGCTCTTTGGAGGACAAACAAGGCAGAGCCACATAGCCTTGATGTGTGGGTAAAGAAGCCATCAGCATAGAAAGGGATCCTCACACCCGGATTCAACACATTAATGAAAACAAGCAAATACTTTTTATGCTTTCAATGGTATTTATTTATATTTAAGTAAAAGTAGCAAATGTTAACATAAGTTATTTCCTTAAGAATATTCATTTTGTATAACTACATTATCATCAAGCAACATTTATGGAATGTTCCCTGGGTCCCCAGTACTGTACTTTCTGTTATATTTACAAGTTTTTACCTAACTCTGCGCACTGAAGAAGCGTGGTGTGGCCATGCAGAGTTGTCACGTGTGACAACCTGACATCGAAGGGGAAGCTTCTTGATGAAGAATGTTTTAGATTATATTGATATTTGACATTACATATCTATAATTTTACTTTGGGCAATAAAAAGTTAGAAGCATGTAAACATAAATTTTTTTTTACCTGAAAGTTGATGCCTTGTTTTCACAATCATAAAAATTAAATTTGGGTTTATTTCCTTTTTAGAATTACAATGAAATAGTTTCATATTAAAATAAAAGGTCTTGCTGCTCTCAGTTTTTGCTTCTACTTTATACATTTTAAGTACAGAATTATCCTGAGTTTTATTGCTAAAACCCTATTGCTCGGTGAGATATGGTTGCCAGGTTTTGGGATGACTTTGCTGCTCTGCTGGTCGTGAACACTGCTTATTTCACCACACGGCTCCACACGTGTGCTCATGCGAAGGATCCGAAAACTGAAACGGAGAGTGACTGGTAATGATACAGGTACAGCAGTCGACTATCGTGTTAACTGAGCTGTACAGGGGCATTTGGGAATAGAAAAATGCAAGAAATCATAACGCATGCTTATTCGCTAAAAATTCTCTAGTTTGATGCATTGTGGGTATTTAGGGTGGAATCTCCATGCAGCTTCTTCAGCAGGCTTGCTGCTCCCTCGGAAGAGTCCATCGATGTCACAGATGTCTCACAGCCTGTCCCTGCCGAGTTTCTGTGCTCACTGCCAGGCAGGTGGCAGATTCTCCAACAAAATCCAATGTTAAACTTAAAACTGGAGGTGTTTTAGTTCAGATGCTGATAGTACCTATAAGACGCAAATTTCAAAAAACAAAGCAAATTCATTTTAGAATTCTTATAGTATGTTAACAGTGGTATGAATTATTTACTGTCATGTCCAGTACAAATTTCTGCTTAAAAATACAAATTGTTAATAAGAAGTATTACTATTGAGGTGACTTATGAATTCTTTTATGATGTATTCACAGAATTTCAGTTAAGATAACATGAAATATTTAACATACATTTTGATTCAAAATGACTTTTAAGAAATTTTTAATAGGTAAAATTTCAAACACACTGAGTAAAATGAACCATTCCCACATACCCATCAGCCATCTTAAAAATTTATCAACAATTCTTTTTTCATTCTTCAGTAACATTTATTGATCCTTAAATATCAGGCAATATCCCCAATATGCTTTACCTCTTTCAAAACTCAAGAAAACCAAATGAGCTAAGCTGGTCAGAGGCAGAGTTACTCTGAAGCAAATAACATTTACTTGCATTGGGACCTTGCAAGAAAGAGGCTCTATAATGTCCTCACATGTTTATGTGTTTCTGTTAAATCTGCCAAAATTAGGTACTTCAGCCATAATCAGTTAAGACCATTGTCTCTCTCCATGGTAACTGCCCCTCGTTCACAGTCTGTCCTCTAACTGTACCCACAGAGTGTCAGTGAGCATTTCTGAGATTTGGTTAAGGACTGACTGGGAGATATATATATTTTGGCTTTGTAATATATATTTTGGCTTTGCAATCTCGTTCATGTATAGTTCCATTATTGCTGGTCATTCCAGTTTGCAATGTCTTCTAGAAATGCTATGAACATGGTCAATTCAAAGAATGTTTAAGAGTACTTACTCCACAGAAAACTTGAAATGCCCTGAAATCTTACAGCTCAGGTATCAAAGAAACTCAATAGAGGTTTCCTGAACTTGACAACAATCCTACAAATCACATTTTTAATAAAGAGTTGAGAACTTAAAACAAACCTCTGTAAACTGTCAAAAAAGGAAACAAAAGCACTTTTCTATCAAGTATGCTAGAGGATAGTCTAAATTATTTTTCTATTCTTTTTATGGAAAAGGCTTTACAAAATTGTTTTCAAATGAAGAGGCAACTAATGTGTATGTGATCACCCCCAAATAGAATAAAAGTGTTGTAGAGATATTAACAACAGTATTATGTAATTTCCTCTACATAATGGGAATTTGAGAAATTTGTTAACTTTTAACCATTATGTAGTTTGCATGACTTATTTATTCAAAATTAATATATACTGTTGTAACAAATTATATATTAATAATTTTTGTGTTTCTTTTCTTAAAGAGAATTTTCCACATTCTACATGCTATAGGTTCCACAGATCCTGGATCCATTCCTGAGCTAGGTAAATTCAGAGAGGTCTAGTACCTTTCCAAAGGTGCAGGAGCAAATGTTTCTGGAAGTTTGTGCAGCTTCAGAAAAGCCACACTGAGTTTGGAGGCCTTCAGCTCGGGACTTGCTCGTTCTGGCTCTGCAGAGGCTCCAACAGTATGAGAATCTGGTTGTTGCTTTGGTAGAAAACTCAAGTCCCAACTTCCCTGAGCACTGGTAGCCCACGTGGGCTGTTTGGTTAAAAAGTGAGACTACCCAAGAAGCCCTTGCCACTGAGCAGAAACAGAAAAATGACCAGCTCCTCCAGCATGTCCAAACTCTGTTCAGTGGACGCCAGGCAAAGGGGCTGACCTCAGGTTGCTGGTTCCTACACCAGGGCTGGCTGATGCAGGAACCAGTTGGTGGTGCCTCCCCCAGGGGATCCTCTCCCGAATGTCCTTCTTGTTCTCTGACTTGCCCCTCATGGCCAATCCTCAACCTGTGTTCCATCTGCTGCAGAGTGGCACCTTTGCCTGGCAGTCCCTCTACCCCAAGGCCCAATGTCTACTCCAGAGTCTCTGGCCACACTGGAGGTCCTTGTGGTTGTCTGCTCAGCCTGTCATTTTTCCAGGGGAGAAGCTAATGCTATGTCCACAGACCAGGAGGTGCTGTTGTGCTGGTAGCACAGTCTGACCTTGCTCATCAGAAGCCAGAAGAACTAGAAGAATGTTACAAAGTCCAGAACCCAGGATACTTCAGGGATAGGTCAGGGTCAGAGTACAAAGGAATTTTCTTTAGTACTAAGTGAAACACAGAGTCCTTCATGATTTGAGAAGGGTCATTTTGTGTTTGCCTGGAACTAAGCCACACTGAGTTATCTGGCCAGCTCTTAAGAGCCAGAAACCAAGTCTTATGCAATTGAACCTGTCCTGTACTGGCCCCTCCAGCAGAGATGAGGAGATTTGGGACTGACAGATTCCACGCCTTGTCTACGGCCAGGTCACCGCTTTGCAAACGTGGCCATTTTTATGTTGCATATGGTTTCTGTAATTTATTTTCCTTGTGGATCCCAGTAAATTTCTTTTTGTGAAGTCCCCCGCCACCAAAAAATAAAAAAGAAAGAAATATGAAAAACTGTACCCTAGCGTTGGCTCTCTGAGAGTCACTAATTGTATAACCCTGTCAGTTCACTTTGCCACTTTAGGCTTTAGTTTCATTATCTCTAAAATAAGGAAAACATGTTAGACTAGGATTTTTCAGCCTTGGCACAGTTGGTATTCTGGGCTGGGTAATTCTTTGCTGTCCCTGTACATTGGAGGATGTATCACAGCATCCCTGGCTTTATCCACTAGATGTCAGTAGTATCACCCAGTTGGAACAACCAAAAATAACTTCAGCCATTTTCAAATAACCCTCAGTGGAGAGGCAGCAGAGAAAAGCCCTGCTATCCTGTTTCAGCACTGCTATGATAGATCATCTTTAGCTTATAATATACACATATGTAATATCATGGTAGGGATTATATATACTGAGGCAGCATTGGATATTTCTGGAGAAGGCTGTGGACCACTTAGTGGGATGTTATAGAGGTGGTATTCTAGTATCCTGTTATTCTTATAAATGTAATTGTCTTTAGCTTCTATAAGAGAGAAGCAAAAAAATGGAGGAAGGCCAGAAAGGTTGGCAACATCAAGCTCTTGGCAACGTGCAAAGCTGCTGGCAACTTAAAGGCACTGAAAAGAAGAATTTAAATGGAGCCACTTTAAAACGGAGTCAGAGCTGCCATCCCCAAGGAATGGCCTTTGCACGTCTTATTTCTCAAACCCTTGGAATGTTAAACTGGGCAAAATAACCTTTGTCCTGGGCCTAAAGTAGCATTGTGTCCCAAACAGCTGTAAGTAAAGATAATAAGAAAGTAGGTGTTATGACTACCAGAGTAAAAATTAAAACCATTCTTTAGAATTAGCATTACTGTGTTAGATCCTCTGAACAATAGAAATTCCTTCTGTTCATGTAATTATTTCCTTTCCCTTTCTCATAAATAATCCTTGCCTTCCCTTCTACTCAGAACACTATTTGGGTTTCTGCCTGAATCGATGCTTTCCTAACAGCTATTCTTTTGGATCTCAAATGTTTGTTGCCTCTCACTTTGGCCTCACAGCAGTCAGAGAAGTGAGAGAGAATAGATGAAAAAGGAGGGAGGATGAAATGTGGCACTAATCCTCAAAGAGGTGAGTCTTACTTGGGAAATGGTTGTCCTTTCAGATCTAAACTACCAGTGGCAACCTTGAGCTCAGTAATGGGTGGCAGCCACAGTCACCACAGCCCGTCAGTGGGGGATGCTGGGCTTTTTGAATGAATAAGAATTCATGTAAGTACATATGATTTTGAAATATAGCACCTGTTAATAGTAATGCAAGGAAAAAATATTTTTCCAAATAATATTTGGGGGGAGTAAGGACAGGAGCTGAGCAGGAGGCATGGTTTGCCTAAAAGTGTAGTCACCTTTTGGGTTCCAATGACCACTAGATGGTGCTATGTCTGGCTACTACCTCAAGCATGGCTAAATTGTTAGGGTATTTTCTGAGCTTCCTAGCTTATTTTCTCAGTCTTTTCTAAATAATTTTGCTTTTGCTATCCTTCAAGGGAAAGATGCCTGTCAATTAAAACAAACTTTTTTCCATTCAAAACATATTTACTTCCAACACCTTGTTAATCTCTACTTCTGATTCAAGACACACCCATTTCTGTCACAAGCATCTTGGCAACAAAGGCTCAGGCTCAGAAGGCACTGGGACATATTGTGTCCATAGCAAAGGATTTGTTCTTTTTGAGAATTTTAATTAAGGCCATATCCAGGTGATTTAGCAACACTACTATTGGCAAGTACAAACAAAGCTGATATAAAAATCTTTTAACTTCAGTTTCTTCAACACTGCTGACTGATCTTGTCAGAGATGAGATTTGTGCTTACCCTGGGCAGTCTGAGATATTAAAAAAGGAGGAGTTAGACTATTGTTGTGCTTTGAGAGGCTCTGAAATACAATAGTGTGCTATAAAAGATAGCTCTATGACTTGTGTGTCTGGTCGAGTGGCAGTTGGAGAGGGAACATGGCCATGATATACCAGAGTGACAGGGCAACCCCGTGTCAAAGTGTTATGTTCCAAGGGCTCATTTAAGCAGTTATCTACTAACTGAGAAGTTGTGAAATTCACAGTCTACTGAATTGGACTTGGGGATTAGATGTCCTTATCTTTTGTAAATCTTTAAGCCAGCCTACCCATTATAAATGAGCCAAGGGAATGGACATCTGAAGTTGCGATAAGTGGTTCTGTTTGATTTTAAGGAAGAAAGATTATTGCTGCCCCTCATCACTAGCCTTACTTCTATAGCAAAACAGTAAGGGACCCTCAAGGAGGACAGGGTGCTGGTCAGCAACAGGTGTAAGACGGGTGGGTTGAATTACCGCAATCAGTGCACTTCCATGTTCCATTTAAAATATGGTCAGACGAAAACCAGAGACGGACTCATAGATAGAGAGCAGGCTGACAGCTCTTGGTCGGGGATGGGGGTGGAAGGATAGAGCAAAATAGATCAGAAAAGAGAAAGAACTCACGGACACAGGAAAAAAAGACAAAACGATCTTAGAGGTGGCTAGGGTTAGGTAGAGAACAGGCAGAGTAGAAGTTAAATGAACCAAAACCTCCCTCATGTGTTTACTAAATACCTCTATTTATGAATTAAAATATTAATAACACAATAATGCATATTTTTTCACATATTTCCCATCAAAATAATGGAGAGGAAAAGTGAGCACAAGTGAAACAGCCAGGACTTTGGGTTGCTAAAGCAAGCATGAAATTCCATTTCACACTCTTATCTAGGGCAGGGCTGGAGTCTGAAATGTATCTCCCTCAGAACTCACTAAAAAGAAATAATTCTTTTCTTAGCATAGGACAAACATCTTGGTAAAAATCTTTATCAAACCAACAAACGATAACACCTGATTTAAAGATCTAAAGACAACGAGGAACAGAATGGGGGATGGTGTAGAAAACCCCTTAATACTTCCAGCCAGGAGTTTGTGCACAGGTCAAATCACTGTTTTAGGGTTGTGAGATCAGTCCCATTGATGGCCCACAGATTTCCCCCAAGGGTGTGCATCACCTCTGTTCTGAAGAAACACTTCCTACATTGTCCCATGTCCCTCCTTCGGCTCCTTGCTATCGCTACCCACAACTGAACGTGTTTTCTGTGGAGGAAAAAATGAAGTTCCTCGGTAAAACCCGTTTGGACAATACTACATACTATATAGCCTCTTCTTAAAGATTCCCAGTGCACTTGAGCATATTAAAGGGTATCAAAATATCTGAGAGGTTCTAGGAAAAGAAAATCTGTGTAACTGAACTCATTGTTCCCAAATCTAAATACCCTTTCCTGTCCCCGGCCTCACCCCCAGGAATACCAGCATTTCACAGACCACCAGATTCTGCAGTAGAGTGTTTGGAACATGCTTTCCCAAGGATAAAAGTGTTACATCTTCTTGCTACGTTACAAGGATTGTGAAGATTTAAGGTACTTACCAAAAGGATCTACTTAATATCCTGAGAGTTCATATTTTTGCTTAAATTTGGCTTCTTGGTGCAGTTGTTCAGCTTCTGCCCTATCATTCTTCTGATGGAGACGTCATCAGTGTTGGGAAATAGCTGTTTGGTGACTCCTGTAAGGACCACAGTAACATACAAACACTCGATGAGACCTTTGCATCTTACGGTATGAACTGAGATAAGACATGAAGCAATCCACATTACAATTTTGCCTTCATTTTGCGAAAGCAGCCCAAACACCCACGAGACATTTAAATACATGAATATACAGGCAGGTTTTACAAAGCAAAGCAAGAGATAACAAAGGTCTATGCTATATATTCAGAACATACATATTTGTCTTCCTGTGGTACCACTGGACTTTAACTTTGCAACTTGCTCTGAATCCTGTCTCCTTGCTCCAAAATGTTAGGAATTTAATTTTATCCATCCCAACATCAGCTGAGACAACTAGAGTCCAACTGACCTTTTTCCAAGTGAGAAATTACATGCCATTAAAATACAGAGAGCTGCCATTCCATCAGTCCCTGAATTTGTTGGACATTTGCAACAGATTTAGATGAAAATCTAAATTATTATACTTAAAGAAGTTTATTAACTTAAAAACCATAAGTAAGAATTAAATTAACCTCTGGCTTTCTAGAATAAAAAAATAAGGAATAGAACCAAGATAAAAAAGACAAAACAAGATACAAACTGCTACTGAAATTTTGGTTGAATTTTAAAAATTAAATTTACTTTTCTAAAGCTATACATTTTATGAAGCCAAACATTTCAATGATATAAAATTTAGTTTTAGTTTAATATCTACTTTTAATGTAAAAATTTTCTACAAAGTGTTCCATATTTAATAGGGTTTAGACAATCCTGAGGTTGCTTCTTTCATAGAAAAAAATAAATTTGAAGAAAAAGATCATAAAGGAATAAGTTAATCTTGAGGGTAAAGTAATTTCAAGTTCCTGTGACAATGTAATACAGTCACATTATCACCTATAATTTCTTGAACTTCATTCTGATTCATAGCGGGTTTGACAGCTTTCTCCCGTGAAGTGGAGGATTTTGCACCCGTCAGGCTGTGTGTGGCCATGTACTCGTTTGTGTAAAGCACTTGCATTAAATCATTAATAAACTTCTGAGGCTTGCTCTTGTTACAGCGGGCAATCTGCCATTTTTCAATCTTGAACTAAAAAATAAAAGCGACAAACAAAATTGGAAAAAGAAAAAGAAAGTGATATCTGGAGAAAGATATTACTCATTATGGCATACCAGAAAACAAAATCAACCTTCTTTAAGGTGATGTATTATACTTTTAGGATATACTTGGTATTTCAGGGGCTTGGGTTAATATTACCTTTGATATGATTCCCAATATGTATGAGGTGGTTGTTCAAGAGTATTATACACAAAACTTGCTATTGAATCTAGATTTGGTGCTTCAGCGAAGTCTGGTGGGCAGAATAATGGCCCACTGAAGATATCCACACCCCATGCCTTGGAGCTGGTGAATGTGTTACTTACATGAGAAAAACAACTTTGTAGGTGTGATTAAAGTTATGAGACTGGAAGATTATCCTGGATTGTCCAGGTGGGCACCATCTCATCACAGGATCCCTTACATGCAGAAGAGGGAGGCCGAAGAACGGGGCAGGAAACAAGACAGGAAGCAGGAGAGATTCAAAGAGTGGGAGGGATTTCGCTCGCCCTGGCTGGCTTTGAGGGCAGTGGAAGTGGGCCTCAAAGCAAGGAATGCGGTTGCCTCTAGAAGCAGGCATGGCGTTCAGTTTCCAGTCAGCAGGGAAACTGGAACTCAGTGTCTACAACCACAGAAACTGAATTCTGCAACAACCCAAATGAACAGGAAACAGATTCTTCCATCGAGCCCCCAGAAAGGAGTGCACCTGCCAGGAGTGGTGACTTTATGTCACCACCCTTCTGACCTAACAACTCTGAGACAATAAGTTTGTATTATTACAAATGATTAATTTTGTGGTAATCTGTTATATGGAAACAGAAATCTAATACACTAAGATTCAAATATTCTGCATATTAGATTTTTCATCTTTAATAACTGCTCGTAAAGTCATATTTTCCAATGATGATACCCAATTCAAACAAAACTCTTGCCCTCTTAGCTTCTGTTTCTTCATGAGAAGAAATTAAGAAAGTAGAGAAGGAATTTTGTCCAGACAGTACGCAGATGATGAAATTTACTCTCTCTCAATGACATAATTTCAAATGCATAGCTTTCCTTCTGTCACTGGATTAAGAATTTTTTACCTTAAAAATTTCATCACTATCCGCCATTTGATTTTAGTTTTCTAAACTGGATATTTGTTTTACAAATATTATATTTATCATAAAAAATTGTTTCATGTAATTGGAATGTTATGGTTATGACTGCAAATTTCCTAAAGGTATCTGATAAAACAATGGTTATTTTGTGCTCTTATTTTAGTTTTTGTATTTAACTATGTCCCAGAAAGAGACAGGGTGGGTGTTTCAACTGACCTGCTTCTCATCGGTATGATGCTCCTCTTCAGCTCTCAAGGAGACTGGCGAACTGGAATTAGAATTAGAGTTAGAATTACTGCACATTGAGGCAAACGAATCTGGCGAGGAGTTGTTTGTCGCTCTCCAGAGGGTGGACGCAGATGTGACCAGGGCTCCTCTACCCTTAAGCACGGCCTCCGCCATACCAACCAATTCTTCAAACTGGGTGACTGCTTGTGGTAACACTAAAATGGCAAGAAAGAGTAGCACTTTACAAAGACTTTTAATAACAGGGGCATATATACATTTTCTATTGTGTGTATATGCATAAAAATATGTGGGACAAATTGTTAACATTTGCTATCTCTGGAAAAGAAACACAGCAAGAAGAGTGTTGGGGACATATTTACTTTATATTATTAAGTAATGTAATTGCTTACTAATAAAAAATCAATTTCAAAACTTTTAGAGATCATATTTAAATGTTCATGCATTACACTGTAACTAAAATGAATGTTTCAATGAGTTGATTCTTTTTCTAATTGCTAACAGTATTATTTGAAAGTGTTTAATCTCTTATTTGGAGACATTACTGATTCTGTTATCAATCACCTTCCACATACTCACATTAGGCCAGCTTTAAGATAAAACAAGCTGTTTTTCACCAATTAAAATAAATTTTATATGACCTTTTTGAATGGTTTGCCAGGGAGTCAAATTCCATCAAACTAATAAAAATTCATTGCCACAAGTTAAATCTATTTTTTTCACATATCGAAGATGAATTCTGGTAATTAACTGAATTTATTCTTTGTTCTGTTTTTCAATAGAAACTTGCACATTCAAAGGTTTCATGTCTCCATGTAACATGGTTTTCTCTGTTGTTATATTTAGTTTGCTTCCTAAGAACAAATAACAGTTTGTTGGAGTTGGAAGTCACCTTGAACCCTATCTAATTCAACTCATCACTTTATGGTTGAGGGACAAAAAGATTGAAATTTTTTGTAATTAAGCATATTATTGAGCATATCTTTAGAATAATATAAGGTTTGACTTCCGGCCAAGATGGAGGCATAGGTAAACACACTGTTTCTCCTTGCACAACCAAAATTAAGGACAACAACAATTTAGAAACAAGAAAACAACCAGAACTGACAGAAAATTGAACTTGCAGAAGTCCGACAACCATTCATCCAAACCAGTAAGAGGGGTGGAGTCGCCAGTGGAGAGGGCTCGCGGCAGGAAAAAGCAGTGGCTGGCAGACCTGGGTGCACAGGCGGCAGCTAGCTGACGCCAGGTGTGGGGTGGCAATGAGGAGACCCAGTGAGGCACGCAAGGTGGCTGGCAGACAAGGGTCACACATTCGCATGCAGATAAACCAAACAAAAACAGACAGTGAGACAGACCGCGCAACCCAGGGCCCCAGAAATGGGAAATAAAGCCTAAAAGCACTGATTGAAAACACTTGTGGGGGTTGAGGTGCCAGAAGAGACTCCCAGACTCACAGGATAGTTTGTTGGAGAGACGCACAGGGTTCTAGAACGTACACATGCCCACCTGCATGGGAACCAGCACCAGAAGGGCCCAATTTGCTTATGAGAAGTGGCAGAGGGGGCTGAAATCCAAGAGAAAATGGAGCAAGTGCCGTTGTTCCTTCTTGGACCCCACCCCCACATGCAGTATCACAACCCAGCCACTGGGTTGCCCCGCCCTGGTGAACACCTAAGGCTCTGCTCCTCATACATAACAGGCGCAGCCGGACCAAAAAAAAAAAAAAAGGCTCAAACAGAAAAACAAATCAAAGCCCCAGAGGCAATATATCTAAGCAACCAAGAGATAGACAATCTATCAGATGCACGCTTCAAAGCACTGGTGATCAGGATGCTCACAGAACTGGTTGATTTTGGTCACAAATTAGATGAAAAAATGAAGGCTACACTAAGGGAAATGAAGTGAAATGCACAGGGAGCCAATAGTGATGGAAAGAAAACTGGGACTCAAATCAAAAGAGTGGACCAGAAGGAAGAAACAACCAACCAAACAGAAAAGAATGAAGAAACAAGAATTCAAAAAAATGAGAGGGCTTAGGAAAATGGGACTTCCAGGACATCTTTAAATGTTCCAACATCCAAATTATAGGGGTACCAGAAGAGAAAGAGGAACAGCCACCAGTGGAAAACTTATTTCAACAAGTAATAAAGGAGAACTTCCCCAATCTCGCAAAGGAAATAGACTTCCAGGAAGTCCAGGAAGCTCAGAGAGTCCCAAAGAAGTTGGACCCAAGAAGGAATACACCAAGGCACATCATAATTACATTAGCCAAAATTAAAATGAAGAAGAGAATCCTAGAAGCAGCAAGAGATAAGGGGACAATCACCTACAAAGGAGTTTCCATCAGACTGTCAGCGGATTTCTCAAAAGAGACCTTACAGGCAAGAAGGGGCTGGAAGGAAGTATTTCAACTCATGAAATCCAAAGACCTACATCCAAGATTGCTCTATCCAGCAAAGCTTTCATTTAGAATGGAAGGGCAGATAAAGTGCTTCTCAGATAAGGTCACGTTCAAGGAGTTTATCATCACTAAGTCCATATTATATGAAATGTTAAAGGGACTTATCTAAGAAAAAGAAGATAAAAAATACAAATAGTAAAAAGACAGCAAACTCACAGTTATTAACAACCACACCTAAAACAAAAGCAAACTAAGCAAACAACTAGAACAGGAACAGAACCACAGAAATGGAGATCACATGGAGGGTTAGCAACAGGGCAGAAGGGGGGAGAAGGTACAGAGAATAAGTAGCATAGACAGTAGGTAGAAAATAGACAGGGTGAGGGCAAGAATAGTATGGGAAATATAGAACCTAAAGAACTTGTGACACATGGACATGAACTAAAGGGGGGAAATGTGGGTGGGAGGGGGTGTGCAGGGTGGAGGGGAATGAGGGGGGGAAATGGGACAACTGTAATAGCATAATCAATAAAATATATTAAAATAAGGTTTAAGAGTAGAAAATTAGGCATATTGATACATCTGGTATTATATTAAAAGAAAAATTGGAAAATCTACTAAAAAAGAAAATCATGAATTTTATATTCATTCAATTAATATTTACTAAGTACTTCTCCTTTGCCACACTTATTCAATCATAAATTACTCATTGGGCATTTAATAATATTAAACACTGACCTAGCTTTTACTCTGTACCACACATTATCCTGGGAACTTAACTCATGGTTATTTATTTAATCCTCACTGCAACTTTCTGAGATATGCATTATCATTACCCCAAATTTATAGATGAGGACAGTTAGGCAGTGAGAGGTAAATAACCCATCCAGGGTCAACCCAATTAGTGAAAAGAAGAACCAAGATTCAAATTCAGACTCTGCCAATTTCACATTATAGACTGCAGCTGACCCTTGAACAACATGAGTTTGAACTGCACAGGTCCATTTATACTCAGATTTTTTCCATAAATAAATTTGGAAAAATTTTGGAGATTTGTGACAATTTGAAAAAACTCACAAACTGCATAACCTAGAAAATTAAGAAAACTTTAAGTATGTCATGAATGCATATAATATAATACATATACAAATGTGTTAATTGATTGCTCATGTTATTGGTAAGGCATTGAGTCAACAGAAGACTATGGGAGGTTAAGTTTCTGGAGAGTCAGCTATAAATGGATTTCCAACTGCGTGGCCAGCACTCCTAACCTCACATCGTTCAAGAGTAACTGTGCTATATCATGCAGACTCTCAACATTTTCCAACCACTATGTTAGGTGATGAAACCAAAAGCAAACCCAGATGTGATTCCAGCTTTTTGGAAGTAAGAGTGGGGTGAGGGATATTATTTATATAACCATTCTGTGAAATAAGAATCTCCCCTGCTCAAAGAGAGACCTACCCTGCAAGCCCCCAAGATTCCCCATTAGATCCTGGGAGGCAATCCTAAATCCTTGGAAATTCCTCAGTAGGAGTGTCTCTGCCATTTATGGTGAGCCCCTCAGACTGCACTTTATAGTTTATGCTAAGGGGTTTCTCAGGGCAGGAATGATCGTACTCAGTAGCCAGAAAGATTTAGAGACTGAGTTCAGCTATGTAGGCAATCAATCAATCAATCAATCAGTCAGTCATGCCTATGCAATAAAAACTTTGGACACCTAAGCTCAGGGGAGCTTCCTGGATGGACGACACCGCGTGTACATTGTAACACATAAATGCTAGTGTAGCAGGCAGTTAGCCATGAGCGGAGCAGGAACAATAGGCCAGGCACTGAAGGTTCCTAGGGCAGAAAGCCCCAGGTACCTACATATGGACAAAACTGGGGTAGGAGCTCCTCCCCCAGCCCCTCGGGGTAGCCTTTCTTCTCCTGCCATATCACTGGTCATGCGGTTTAGAATCCCTGGCTTTTCATATCACTGGTCATGTGGTTAGGACCCTCCCCTGACCTTCTCTCCCCTGGCATGTCACTAGTCCTGTGGTAGAAGCCCTTAGGGGAGGAACAAGGGAGCCAGAGAACAGCCACATGGACTCACGTACAAACCTCTACACAGCCACTTCCCTAAGCATTAAGTCCTGAGGCCAATGAAGTTCTGACCCACATCAAGTAACCTTAAGAACAAAGCCTCATGTCTGTTGGCTACAGAGGTAGAGTTTTGGCCAAACTACAGATAACATCTAGGCCTCAGTTATGTTTCTGCTCCAGGCCCAGAAGAGCAGCAAGGCCCAGTGGGGCAAGGCTGATATCAGGACCAGCTGTGATGACTAATGACCCCCTGCCCTAATGCTGACCAGTCAGTGGGGACCATTACCCTGAGGAGACACACCTGGAAAGCTGATGAATAGTCTATGGAGATCTTCCAGTAAAGAGATCTCCCCTGAGATCTTCAGGTAAAAACCCTCAAGACAAAGGACTGCACCCATCTGCTCTCTCCCTCTCCCTTCCTCCCTCTCTCACACAACCCACTCCTAACCCACCCCCTTCTTTCCTGAGAATTCTGTTCTCTCTAGAGCACACCCGAGCCTTTCCTCCCCCTTTCTTCCCTCAAGTCTTGTACCTTTGCTCTCTTTCTCCTAAGCTCCAAGGGCCCTTTTTTTTTTTTTTGTCTCTGTAACTTATTTCTTCTACCTCTGTGACTTTCTGAAAAAACTTGCACCTGTATTTGAATTTCTTGGCTCTGAATTTGTAGTTGAACTCAGGGACCGAGGTCTAACACCTGGTGCCAGGCTCTGC